TTTTTCCCCCCCCCCCAGAAAAGTTAATCGATTTTTTGCCCCCCCCCCCCCTAGAAAGTTTTCTGCGGGCCCGATCCTAAGTATTTGTGATGAAGAGGGTGTGACGTATCATCCAAAATGTGTTTAGTTAAATAATAACATCTTTCTTCAAATAGTTCTTCAAGTTAAGGATGTTTAGTTTGTGTTATGTTCCTAACGTTCTTGATTAGTCTGTTTATTCGGTATTTAATATTAGATGATGAATTCCCACACCAGCAGGTAACATTAAAATTAAGTAGGCTTCCAATTGTTGCACTGTAGAATAAGCTAACTACTTGTTTGTTTACGCCGAAATTGTACAGTTTTTTTTAGGTAGAGTAGTCTTCGGTTGAATGTCTTATACAGCATTTGGCCGTGCTCATGCCATGTTAGCTTAGTATTAATGGTGACACGTAAGTACTTATATGCCTCTTCTTTCTCTACACTTTGATTTTTTATGTTGAGATATGTAATCTGGTGTTTCCTCCTCCTGAAATCAACAACTATTTAATTGTTTTTGAGACATTCAGCTGGAGGAAATTTTCATCCGCACCAATTGATAAAGCTTGTAACTAAATTGCGTTATAAGCCCTCTCCCTCAGATATTAAGCCAATGATGGTGGTATCATCAGCAAATTTTAAGATTGTAACGGTGTCGCTTGAGCTCTGGATATCATTGGTATATATTGTATACAGTACAGGGGAGAGAACGCAGCCTTGTGGCGCCCCGGTGCTTATTTCTCTGGTTAGAGATTGTTACGCACTGACTTGTATTGGGAGAAATTAATCTCCTATTTTAAATTTATGGCTTGTTCAAACAGTGCCTAACAAAAGACGATAGCATAAAGAAATACAATAACACAAGTACGACACCCAAAACAGTACCAATTATAATTAATAAGATTTAATTCAGTAATAATACAATTAGAAACAAAAGAAATATAATTACAAATCATCAACTTACACAGTATGATAGAACTGGTACCGGTACACAATTAGTACAAGGTGCCAATGAATGAAGAATGCGAATAAACATATATAAGCACACAAAGAATAATACACGTCTCGTAAAGTTAAAAAAAAATATCGATCAATCTATCTGAATCTCTCTGAATCTCCGACCCTCTGTGCCTGTCAATCCTTTTTATATGTGGGTCTACCGACGCGCCTAGAAACGCCTTTACTTTTCCAGAACAAATCGAGAGCCTTCGATAAGACACTAGTAGGCATACTAACCAATGTGTCATGGGCCGTCAGTTGTAAACAAGATACATCAAAGAGAATTTAAAAGTTCACGCACGGGAATGTGTGCTACATAACAGAGATAATTGGTCATTTACTTTGATATTTGACACATTGTGGTCGATTTGTTAAAAAGTTCAGTATCCAAGCCTAAATATTTAAATTTACACCTAACGAGGAAAGTTTCTTTATCATAAGGTGGGTAGTGGTAAATGCTGGTGAGAATTTCTAAGAAAAGCACTTTGGCATATTTCTCTAGGACTGTCTAGGGGATGGTAAAGTCTCTTCAACAATAGTAATATAGCATCCTCCGTACTTCTGGCAGGTTTGTAAGCAAATTGGTGGGGGTCAAGTTTTTGCTGCACTTCATTCAAAATTAGTATCAGATTAAGTTTCTAAAAACATTTCATTACCATAGGAATTTATTTTTCTTAGGAATTTGTTTTGATTTCTGAAGTTTTCGAAATGTTTAATATTGTGTGAGTTACATAATATTTATTACATATGTAACAAAAAATGTAGGAGAGCTGCTCTGAGCATAGTTTAACGAGCCGACCACTTAATTTGTCTGGTCCCGAGGTCTTGGCTGCGTCCACTTGTTAAATACCGACATCGCGTCCTGTTCGGTGAGCAAGAAAGTATCATCCCGTGGAGTAGCGCCATCTTTAAATGAATTCATCATCTCAATGTGTAAACTTCCAATGTCCAGGCTGTCAAAACGACAATACAAGTAATGTAAGTCGTTAACAAAATTATTCACGTCCTAAAGACACAAGCATTCACGCTTAGTAATATATCGTGTTATTTGTTTTAGGCCAGCCCAACAAGCCTTTGAGTTGTTAGTAAGACCCTGACATAGGACATGTCATTGATGACCCTGGCATAGAACATGTCATTGATGTCCCTGGCATAGAACATGACATTGATGTACCTGGCATAGAACATGACATTGACGTACATGGCATAGAACATGTCATTGATGTCCCTGGCATAGAACATGTCATTGATGTCCCTGGCATAGAACATGTCATTGATGTCCCTGGCATAGAACATGTCATTGATGTCCCTGGCATAGAACATTTCATTGCTTAAAAAAATCGTTATTGGCATAGCTTTACACGTCGGCTACTCGGTTCTATGAATGTTGAGTTAGATCAAATGAAATCTTAAAGAAAGTGATACTTTTTTAAAAAAACAGAAATTAAGAATTTAACGGGCGCACTCAAACAGTGCAAGTTTCATTAATTCTAAGGATTTTTTAAAAAAAAGTGTTTAAGTAGATCAATGAGGTAATTTATTATTTATCTGAAGAAATGTATAACAGTTCGAAATTTCAAATAAACATTTCAATCAATTGAATGTTGAGAAATGTATACTTTATATTCATACGATTTCCCTCAGATAAAATCACTCATTAAATAAATGATGTGCTTTGTGTAAATAGCCCATGCCTTCTTAAAATAATTTTTGCCATTCGTATACCATTTATAAAAATGACTAGTTTTAAAACCCAGTTAAAATGTATACAATTTCTACAAAACAGAATTCATGGTTTTTTTTAAAATTCAGGTACAACTTGGAAATATTTAGAAAAGGTTATAGTTCGTCAGTCGAAATCGACTATGGCCAACTTAATCATCGTATATTCTAATTTTAAAGTTGGCTGTGGGTGCGCAGATGGCTCATGGGGCCGATTCTGTCACGAAATGTTCTTGTGCAGTTAAAGAGCATGGGAGGGATGGGACATCTCCATGTGCAGACATGTCTGACATGTCTTTTGTGCTCTGTAGCCGCTGTTCTGTTGGCTTCATCTGGTATGGGGCCTTTGTGTACAGATAAATGCCACGATGCTTGGTCCTTTGCCGCTTCTTCCCATGTATCCGTGTCCGTATCGAACGCTTTCAGTGAGGCTGCAAGGGTGTCTTTAAAGCGTTTCTTCTTAACACCAGCAAACAGCCTTCCATGCTCGAGCTCAACATAAAATGTTATTTTGCGCAAGCGGTCGTCTGAAATTCGCACAGCATCTCCCGCCATAGAAGCAGTGACTGCATTAAAGTGGCGAAGATGATTTATTTTTATTTTATTTTTATTTTATTTTTTTGGGGGGGGGGGGTTGGTTCTGCCTATGCGAGGGCCTCAGTGTCTGGGACCCTCTTCTGCCATTGGATGTTTAGGATTTTTCTGAACTTTTATGCATTAAAGTGGCGAAGATGATTTATTTTTATTTTATTTTTATTTTATTTTTTTGGGGGGGGGGGGTTGGTTCTGCCTATGCGAGGGCCTCAGTGTCTGGGACCCTCTTCTGCCATTTGATTGTTAGGATTTTTCTGAAACTTTTCACATGACTATGTTTCAACATTTTTGCATGACATTGATAGAACGTCCACGTTTCACAGTCAATAGAGAAGGGCAGGGCGCACAGCCAATTTGTAAACCTTCATTTTAGTTTGAGCGCTGATTTCTCGCGTGGTCACTCTTATAAAATCTGCCATAGGTTGCACTTGCTCTTTCAATACGAAGGTTGACCTCGTCCTATTTGGTGCCACTTTGGGGACAGTGTGCTGCAAAGTTTTGTAAAACCATTTACCACTTTAAGACTCTCTCCATATACTTGAACGTTTGGCTCAACATAATTTAATTCTTAGAACGAAATTTTTTTTTTTTTTTTAAATACATTTGTTTATTAAAAAATAATAAAATCTACATTGCTATTTAGTAATTTCCGCGGGGGTTGCAGGGTCCATATAAGGGCACTGAGGTCACGTGACACCTAAATTTTTAAACAGCCTCATTCCGGTTGCTCTCTGATTAAATGTAACATGATGCAAAACTCAATTCAGGTATTTGCTAAAATGCATTCTTGCAATTTGAATTCAGCAAAAAATTTTCTGGGGGAGGGGCTCAAAGAGTCTTCGGCTCAGTTTTTGCTTGCCCGTTTCCTCACGCTGATCAGTGTGAAAGCTTTTGGTTGTAGATAAGCTTATGCCAAAAGATTAGCCTGAGGCGCGCCACAGCCAGATTAAATTCAGTCTGTGTATGCTTATTTGCATGCTGATAGATCCACCCAAGGCGCTTAAAAAATCTAATTCTAGTATACGTCAAAATGCAAATCTGGATTCTGACATAATCATTTTTTAAAGAATTCTAAGTAAGGGCTCC